GGCGTGTCCAAACTCTACCCCAAGAGACCCCGCGCCCGACGCAACAGGCGGCGCCCCAGGGCCCTTCCTGAGCCTCTGGCGCTAGGTCCCCCAGGGTGCAGACTGAGAGGGGCCGCCTCAATCCCGGAACAGCAGCGGGGCGAGCTCATGCAAACTCCGCCGCCAGCTCTGGAACTCGTGGCCCGTGTCGGGCGACACGTACGCCGTGCTCGGCACGCCCGCCGCTGCCAGCGCCTCGTGGTTGGCGTTGATCCGGTCCGGGTACTCACGGCCGCCGCAGCTGGTGAAGACCAACTTGACGCGGTCGCGGAAGCCGTCGGTCTCTTCGACGTCTTCGGGCGTGATCACCCCGCCGCTGAAGAGGGCGATGTGCGAGAACTTGTCGAGGTTGCGGAGCGTGACCAGGCGCGTCTCCATGCCGCCCATCGACAGCCCCGCCATCGCCCGGTGCGGCTGGTCGGACAGCGTGCGGAAATTTTCGTCGATGTAGGGGACGAGCTCATCGACGAGCACCTTCTCGAACGCGTCGATCTTGAACTCGCGCAGCTGGCCCCAGCGGACCTCGTTGGTCATGCCGTAGGTCATCACCACGAGGAACGGGCGCGCCTTCCCCGCGGCGATCAGGTTGTCGAGGATCAGGTGCGCGCGGCCTTGGTTGGTCCAGGCGGTCTCGTCCTCGCCCCAGCCGTGCTGCAGATAGAGCACGGGGTAACGCTCGTCGGAGTCGGCGTCGTAACCCGGCGGCGTGTAAACAAACGCGCGGCGGACCGAGTCGGTGCTCGGCGACGGGAACAGCACCTGCTGAACACGGCCGTGCGGCGTTGGCTTGAGGGCGTAGAAGTCCTCGTCATGGGCGGGGATTTCGATGCCGCTCTCCCAGCGGACCGAGCCGTAGAAGTTCAAGGCGCCGGGGTCGTTGAACGTCCCGCCATCGACGATGGCGTGGTAGTAGTGGAAGCCCTCGTCCTCCGGCCTGGCGGTGGTCCCCACCCAGGCGCCGTCGTCTCCTTTCTCGAGCACCGTCCCCTCACGGCCGCCGAGCGTGACGCGGACGCTCTGGGCCTCGGGCGCCTCGATCCGGAAGCGGGCGTAGCCCTGCGAGTTGACCTGGGGGTACTCCCGGCCCGGCTGATTGAGCGACGAGGGCTTGAAGTCTTCGGCGATCGACGCCCCGTCCTCGGCCAGGAGGGGCGAAGCGACCGTCACGAGGGCGACGGCGAGCAAGACAAGTCTCATGGCGAAGAATATTGAAAAGAGGAGAGAGAGGACGAGCAGGCGATAGCGTACACGATTCGCCCGATGTGAAGGATAAGCCCTTGTGAAGGGAAGAAGATTAACCACAAAGGAACGAAGGAACGAAGGAACGACGGCCGTTCATAGGGGGTGGCAGCCTTACTCTTCGCAGCAACCATCCGAGTGGTTGGCGCCTTTTCCTTTGTTACCTTCGTTCCTTTGTGGTGAAAATCCTTTGTAGGCGGCAGGCGGATTGCCACGGCATCCACGCTTGCTGGGCCGCGAGAAAGCCTACAATCGGGGTCGTGACGCTAACGACCTCCTCAGCCGGCGCCTCCCCTCACACAAAGGCATTCACAATGGCCATTCCGCACGCCGCTCCCGGTCAGACAATCGACGTCCGCCCCTTGGGGCCGGCCCTGGCGGGGACGAAGACCTCGGCCCTGCTGAAGACCGACTCGCTCGAAGTGATCCGCCTGGTGGTCCCGGCCGGCAAAAAGATCCCGTCGCACAAGGTGGCCGGCGAGATCACGGTGCAGTGCCTCGAAGGCCGCGTCGCGTTCACAGCGCTGGGCGAGACGCACGAGCTCCAGGCCGGCCAGATGCTCTACCTCCCCGGCGGCGCCGACCACGCCCTCGAGGGCGTCGAAGACGCCTCGGTGCTGGTGACCATCCTCAGCTGACCCCGCCGTGCTAATGTCGAAACGTTGCAAGACTCGCCAACGTCAGCAGCGCCAGGGCGACGGAAGAGGGCTCGGGAATCAGTGCGTAGGTGTATAGATCGCCCCCTTGGCTCGTCAGTCGGAGAGTCTTGGAAGGAGCGTCGTAGTGAATCCCCAATCCGTTGTCACGGACGCCAGGAAGGGAACTTGGAAAGGCGTCGGTGAGGAGCTGCCCCCGCAGTGTCCCGTCCATTGAAAACTCAAAAAGGTCGTCGCTATTCGTAAACACGAAGAGCCCATTCGTGTCGGGATCAACCGCGACACTCTGCAATTCGTCGTTCGTTGGAAGCAGGCTCCTGGCGTCGAACGAGAAGAGCAACTCACCCGAGAAGGACCACTGCTCGACGCTCCCCTCAAACCGGGTTAACCAAAGGGTTGAGTCGCGATCGTCGATGTCCATCCCCTCGGTCGCCGGCGCCCCCGTGCGGATCCGACCCGTGACGGCGCCATCGGGATTGACGAAGCGAACGATTCCCGTGTCCTGATCGAGGACGGCCAATTGATTGAGGGCGGAGCTATAAGCGAGCCCGCGGAGGTCGCCCACTCCAGAGATCGACGTCTCGCCGAGAAATCCAAAGCTCGCATCGTAGGTAGACCACGCGCCCGTCAGCGTTTGGGCGACGTACCAAGTGGAGCCGTCGAAATCGAGATCGTGGCTGCCAGTGTTGAGAAGAGTCTCGTCGACTTTGACGAGGTAGCGCCCGTTGCCACTCAAGGCATAAGCGTTGCACTGGAGTATCGAGAGCAACGCGAAGACGGACGCAACCGCCAGTGCGGAGAGCGAGCGTGGCGAGTGCATTAGCAACTCCGGCGGAGGATTAGAAACACAAAGGTGGCTCGCAGCACTGGCAGACCCGCATGTTAATTCAAAAGGCCGAACACTTTTTGTAGAATCTTTCGAACGACATAAGTCAGAGGCCGTGCGCCACAGCTGGCTCGCCCAGCAGTGGCACACGTTTCTTCCGTCGGGTCTCTGATGTTGAAGTGGCCCCGGCGACGGGCCGTCGTATCCTTCGTGCCCGTCGTGGTTCCTCCTCCCGACGTGAGCAAGAGACCTGACCCCCAAAGTAGGGGCGCCTCGTTTGCCTCTGCATTTATCGGGGGGAAACGTGAGCACCCGCACAGAGGCCCATAGAGGGCCCATTTGGGCGATCTGGCGTGTCCACGTGTCCACCCACAGCTTCTCGCCAACATGGCCGTAACGTGGACGCTAGGGCCCTTCCTGGGCCTCTGGCGCGCGGGGTGTGGCGGGGCCGGTTCAAGCCGGCTCAAAACCCCTCCTTCGGGGGGGGTTTGGTTGATCGGGCCGCTTCGTTGCCAGGGCTCGGTTTCTCCGCGGGCTACATCGATCGAGTGACCGACGAGGGCGCCTATGCCCTGTCGAGGGCTATCGGCGTCTTCCTGGGCGCTATGTTGATGGTGCTTTACTTGATCCGTGTAACGAATTAAGAAGGCGATTGAAACCGACAACCTGGAATTAAATCCCTCCAGCGTTGATACATTCTCACCACACGCCCCTTACCGCCGCATGATCCTCAAGGCCCTCCGCATCATCGGCGCGGCCCTTGCCGCGATTGTCGTCGCCATGGTGCTGCTGATTGCGGTGGAGCTTTTCAGCGCGATCGTGCATCCCTTCCCGCCCGACTTTGCGGGAACCGAAGCCGCCATATGCGAGCACGTGGCCCGCTACCCGCAATGGGTCCTTGCGGCGATTGTGCCGATGTGGGCGACTACGGCGTGGGTGAGCACGTGGCTGGCGGGGTGGCTGGGCGGCCGCGGACCGGCGATGGGTGTCGCCGTCCTTCTGATGGCGGCCGTGCTCTGCAATCTGTCGATGCTCCCCTACCCGCTCTGGTTTAAGATCGTGCAGCCGATCGCGATCGTGATCGCCCTGGTGTACGCGTACAGCCTTTCAACGCCCCGCCCCTTAAACACCACGCAGCGTGAGGGAAGCCTCGAACCCGTTCAGAGGTAGGTTTAAAAGGCCGCAAGCATCGAATCTCTGGGCGTAACCGACCGTTCGTAGCCTTTTGCTTAACACGAATGGCGCCTAGGCCTGACGGCTTCTTCCGCGCGCCATGTGTTTACACTGGCCGATTTAAACGCCTGCCGGCTGCCGCGGCGTGGGGCTTTGTTGCGGTTTGATGGCCGGGGTGGGGATCGCCATCGAGTCGCCACGGAGCTCGAGCAGGGCTTGGCGTTCTTGGTCGATCTCGTACATCGTGCGGAACCCCAAGCGGCGCAGCACCGGCAGCGGCGGGCACCAGCCCTGCACGGCGTGCTGAAGCAGGAAGCCCGTCACCGCCAGCGGCAGGAAGGCCCAGCGGCGGTCCTTGGTGACGGCTAGCAGGCTGCCGGTGAACGCCAGCGTGGCGGCGTTGGCTTCGAGCGTCCGCTCGATGTCCCACTCGTGGTCCAATTCCGCCAAGCGCTGATCGATCTCCGCGGCCGATGCGTGTCGTAAGTCACGGACGCGCTGCTCGGCCTGCTGGCGGATTGATCGGTTGACGCTCTGACAGGTGTGCTCCGGCACACGCTCGCTGCTCGACGGGATCATGATTGCCTCGGTTGGTGTCGCGGTTGGGTGACAATCCCTCCGCCACACCGAGATGCAAACCCCGCGCCGCAGCGCTCCATCGAATCCGTCAACCCAATCAATCGGCGAAGAGGCCGGTGGCGTACCAGATGCCGTTGCCGCCGCGTTGGATGTCGTACGCGTAGGCGCGGTGGGGGCGGCTGACGCCGCGCCAGTGGCCCGACGAGTGGCGCCAGGCGTCGACGCAATCGACGACCGAATCCATCAACGTCTGGCCGGGCCAGCTCTCGGCGCAAACCTCGGTGACGCTGCTGCCGGCGGCGCCGCTGAGGCGTTGGAAGCGGCGGCCGAAGTTCTGGTGGCCCTGCTGGCGTACCCGGGCCTGGTAGGCGGCCTGCTCGTTGGCGCCCGACGCTAGCGCGTTATGAAAGCGCCCGCCGGTGCTCTGCGGCGCCTCGGGGTGCATCCGGACGGCCCACACAAGCGACCGCTGCGTGAGCGTCCCGGCGGGCAGGTCGAGCGCCGTCGCCAAGCCCCGGGGGCTCCAGTGGTAGTACTTGCCGCCGGCGAACGGCAACGCCGTCACCGCGTGGCCGTAGTAGGGCGCGTCCTCGTTTGCGAGGTCGACGATCGCGAACCCCGCCCCGCC